GAATCAAGATTCAAGTGTTCATCTTTAGAGTAGTTCTGGTTCAACTCCCCCTACTGCCAAGCTACCACTGAGGTGCCCTGAGCATGGTATCGTCCCCACACACTGCTCCCTGGGTGCTGTTCCTACAGCTGCCCCCTGCTGGCTGTGGTGATGGGTTAAAAGCAGAGGTCATATTTTGTGGTGTGCTGTGTGTCACAATGACAAAAAAAAAAAGTCACTTTAATTTATTTTGATGTTTTTACAATTGTATTTATTTCTTTTCAGAGTTTGAAACATTGTTTTGACATATTTTATATGATTGTGTTCTCAGGTTTTTCTATTGTTGTGTTGACTGTATAGTAAATGAGGCAGCTACCTCAGTACACTCCAGAGTTTAAAATAAATAAAAAACTCTGCCTTGGATTCTTAAAGAAGCTATGATTTGAAATACACATTTTTTTTTTTATTTAAAAGACAAATGATAAAATATCGGTATCGGTATCAGCGATACCAGCCCGAATTTTACTCTGTATCGGATCGGAAAGGAAATTAGTGGTATCGAACATCACTAATTGTGACTGCCACTGTCATAAACATGTCTTGAAATAATCAGCACCACTCACATTTTCTTTTTCCTCACTTAAAATGATCTTGTCAGGCCTGACATAAATGGATTTCTGATGAAATAATACTAAAAGATTTGTCTCTTGTCATTTTCTCAGTTCAACCAACTCCAGTTTACTTTTATTTGAGTATCACTTTCTAAAATATATTTTTTAAATAATTTATCTTTATTTCATAGCAACAGTTAAAGACTGACAGGAAAGGGAGAGGGAGTGAGGATGAGATGCAGCAAGGAGCCCAGGTTGTACTTGATCTCCATTACACAAATGCTTAAAATGATGATTTCATAGTACCTCTCCCTCGACACTTCCTCTAGCTCTTCTGGGGGGACCCCAAGGCGTTCCCAGGCCAGCCGAGCGACGTAGTCGCTCCAGCGTGTCCTAGGTCTTCCCCTGGGTCTCTTCCCAGAGGGACGGCACCCGAGCACCTCCCGAGGGAGGCGTCCGGGGGGCATGCGATGTAAATGCCCAAGCCACCTCAGCTGACTCCTCTCGATGTGGAGGAGCAGCGGCTCTACTTCGAGCTCCTCCCGCGTGACAGAGCTCCTCACCCTATCTCTAAGGGAGCGCTCTGCCCCCCTGCGGAGAAAGCTCATTTCAGCCGCTTGAATCCTTGATCTCGTTCTTTCGGTCATGACCCACAACTCATGACCATAGGTGAGGGTAGGAACGTAGATTGACCGGTAAATTGAGAGCTTCGCTTTTCGGCTCAGCTCCTTCTTCACCACAACGGACCGATACAGCGACCGCATTACTGCGGCCGCAGCACCGATCCGCCTGTCAATCTCACGCTCGATTCTACCGTCACTCGTGAACAAGACCCCCAGATATTTGAACTGCTCCACCTGAGGCAGGACTTCATCCCCGACCCGAAGGGTGCATACCACCTTTTTCCGGTCGAGAACCATGGCCTCGGACTTAGAGGTGCTAATTTTCATCCCAGCTGCTTTACACTCATATATTGTGGTATTTTTTCAAATATCCAATGAAAACAGGTAACAAATATGGTGACAACAACAATTTCAAAATGTACCTGCATGCCTCCACAGCTGGCTGGAAGGCTACTGTTATTGCCTGCAGTACTGTGTCAGAATCCCAGTCACAGCCAAATTCCAATGCAGACTTGGTGTGACCATTTTCAAACAGCCAAGCTTTTTGGGCACGCCTTGGTATATGTGTAGCTTTGTGATTTAGTAGTAGAATGACCTCGTTGAGAAAGAACTGAGTTTATAAATAAATAAGTATGCTAGTGTTATCATGTCCTCATTAGTCGTGTTTTCATTTGATCTTTATGTGGCTCTTGCATACTGTACATACATACATACATAATACTGTACATACTGTACATACATACATACATACATACTGTACATACATACATACATACAAATACATACATACATACATACATACATACATACATAGCATACATACATACATACATACATACATACATACATACATACATACATACATACATACATACATACATACATACATACATACATACATACATACATACATACATACATACATACATACAGTGTTAAGAGAATAATTTATTTTACACTGTATTCATTTATTTTGTGGTCGATAGACATACATGTGTTATATACAATTTAACTGTGTAGCAGTGATTACTAGAGCAGTAATAATATTTTCATTCCATAGTACTGTGTCGCTGATCTTTAAATAGCCTACGTTCAATACTAAGCTAAATACTCAGTGTGCGCTGGTCTACGGATGTGGGTAATAGCAACTATATAAAAATTTACTTCCTTTATTGTGTTACCTTCATTAAATTACCTGAAAATGATATGCAGCTAACGACACAGAGCTACATACAGACCTCGTCACATAGCAGTGTTCTGTTAACAGCTCTGCGTTTTTTTTAAAGCTTTTCCCACTTCTCTGTCCACAAAACTCACGCACTACCCCGCCTGATACTGTGCATGTTATGTGTATTAAGCATACATATATTGTGTAATATATTTCCACGTGCCTTTTTATTATATACCTTTTATAGGCATCGACGTCGCATTTGCACATTGCTGATGTTTCTGAATAGTTCAGCTCTACATTTACATGCCTGCTAAAATCTGAACTAAGACGAGCTCAGCTGAGAGTCCTCGTCCAGTTTTCAATGAATCCTAGCTATTCTTACCTCTTTTGTCTCGGGCCCCTTCTGTACGGGCGGAGATTGTACATAGGGCTTGTTGTGGGAAACTCCATTGCATCCTGACCAATTGTAACAGGTCTATGGCCGCCGCGATTAAAAAGGGACCAGACTTCTTCTTCTGAAGATTGATGATGGTCACGGGTCCTCGGCGTATTTTTGGTCAGCACAAGCATTTGCCAGTGTATTTAGCATTTTGTAGTTTTTGAAAATAGCTGCTAACAAATTCCGAGCAGACTGACTCATTTTTGCTGCAGCCAAATGAGTTGAGGCAGTTTGGTCGTAATAAAAGATCGGTGCAGTGCTTTAGCGCAGGCGTCACTTTTCAATTACTACTTGCTTGTTCCTTTACTTTCAGACTTTCTGTATACATATTCAGGATTTTTGTATATATATTCAGACTTTTGTATATATATTCAGGGTTTTGTATATACATTCAGACTTTTTGTATATATATTCAAAGATTAATTTCCTAAACGGCATGCCATAATATATATATATATATATATACATATATATATATATATGTGTATATGTATGTGTGTGTATGTATGTATTTTGCACTTCGTGCAATCAGACTATGTAGATTCAAATTTCAAAGTTGCTTCCTCCCGCCCGTAACGACCAACCGCCAAGTTTGAAGAACGACAGATAATTGGGAGTAGTGTCCACAGCCATAAAGGACATTGTCAACCACACGCCATTTGACGTAAGTGTCCCAGAATGCATGTGAATGATATTTTAATTAGTTTTCATACCTCAAATTTACAGCCTTGAAGCTAACGTTAGCATTCCTGATAAATTATTGCCATCACATAAGCTTTGTTTCCACTGGATCATTAACACCGAACAGCAGTAGGCTCATGAGGAGCACTACATTCTGATGTAGCTGTGTGTTTAACATCAACTGTCGATAGAGTGTTTTAAAATCTAAACTCTTCTTTGCACATTGCGCTGAAAAAAGATCTTGTAAGACCTTCTCAGCGTTGAAACTTCCCCGGTTGTGTGCTGTGACTTTACCATGCCACGCGGGACACAGGTAACCTAACGTTATTTTAGTATTGTAATAAATTAGTCAGATTCTTTTAATTAGTAAGATTTTATTTTATTTTTTCCACTTTCATAATTCTGATCCTGTGCGTTCACTGCTTGCACCTTGCTCTACAGACACCTCCCCATTTTGGACTAATAAACCACAGACTGAGCCTTGGCTGGATTAGTCAACTCATACATTCAGGCATGCATGTTGTTAGATTTCAGTGGTTTTCACATTTGGTTAGGGTCTTAAAGCAGGAAGCTGCTAAGACACCAATGCCTTCCCAAGCACATACAAATACATAGCCCCACACATTCAAAGAGAATTTCTCCTAGATTCTCTTCACACCAACTCTCTAGATTACCCCCTGTTTTCCCAAAACCCCTCTACTCTCTGGGAACAATGGGAAAAATGCAAAAACCACTCCCCCCACACAGGTATAAAAGTGCACATCACTGACGATGCATAAGGAGGTTATTCTTGACTTTGCGCACTGGTAACTGTTGTACGAGATTTTCTTGAATACTTCTCCAGTCGTTTTATTTTGCTCTTCAACCTGTTTGTTTTGGCGTTTTGTTATTAAACGAATTGACCATCTACTGGCTGTTTCATTCCTTGCCTGAGACTACCTACGAGGGGATTTCAATTTTAGTGCTGTGACTACGGGGAGAAGAAATCCTCCAATTAGTGTCATGCTCACGAACGAAGAAGGGACAAATCGTATAACTGGGCCGTGGACCAGATTGATTATACCAATAATCTTTCAACTGGTGCCGTGACCCAGATCGAAATATAGCAAGAACCTTTCAATGTAGATAAATGGAAAAAAATCATCAAATCTCCTACATGATTGTCTGATAACTTATCTGAAGGCTGTGGAAAAAAATGAAAATTTTTCCGCACTTGTGTCTGCAAATGCTCACAAACCCCAGGTTCTTTTTAGGAAATGGTAAATTTAAACTTTTTCAAGATCTTTCGAGCAAATGTGTTTTAATTTTGGCCAACTTAAATCCAACTTTCAAGCACCATCATGGATGAATATGAGGAAAAGTTGGCACAAGCCGTGCAGTACAGGAGCAGTACACATAATAATCTACAAGTCAGGTTTCTCTATTAGAAAAGAACACGAGAAACCCAGTTTGTTGAAAATTTTAATAAACAAAGTCCAAAAGGGAGTTGGTGAAGAAGAATTGGCTGGTTGAGCTGCATGGGAGGTTTACATGTTGCATGGAACAATTATATCAATAAAATTACACACTGACAACATTTTAATTTTTCATCAATTCAAGAGAGAAGGAGAAATTCAACACTCAATCCTATTGTTAACACATTGTTTTGTTATATTTATTGGCAAAGTGTAGTTTACTTAGCTCCTGTCAAGCAATCTGCATTTTTATTCAATTCCTTTTTCCCTCAGCAGTTTTTCCACATATTGCAGGTAGTCCAAATCTGGCTTCCCATTACTGAGAAAACACAAAGAGAAACGAGAAAAGAGAAAGTTATTCAACCATCTTAGTCTTGACAAAATGTGTATTTATGTCAAAACATCTCATTCTCAAGAGAGTTGAGATATGTTTTGACCTACACACACAAAAAAGATTTGTTGGCAAAATTACTGATTCAGTGTACGTATACGGCTCAAGTCACTAAAACTGGGGTCAAAGGCCAACTGAACCGATTAAAGTGCTAAAAACAGAAACAAATGTGCAGAGGTTTAAAGCACCCTTTAATTTCTTTAAAAGACCATGATGAAATCAGACTGGATGGCTTTACAATTTGTTGCAAGCATTGAGGGGACAGGGTAAGAAAATGTTTGGCAAGTTCTTTGGCCTAGTTCTGTGCAAATTGAAGGGATACTGTAAGTAATAAAGACCTGAGAATACAGATATAGCTGTATAGCTGGACTAACTTTGTCAAATGTAGGAAAAGATATATGAGGGTGGCATTTGCAGATAAAGTTATACCAGTGCAAAAGTTTTGGCTCGAACCAATCCTAGCTGTCACTGGGCAAGGGTAGGATACAACTTGGACAGTAGGCAAGGTCACATATAGAAACAAACAACCACTTACACTGACATTCATACCCAGACAAGAATTTGAACATTTTCAACAGTTATTTGTCCATAAGTAATGAATATTATCGTGAACACAATGCCAGTTTTGGTAGATGGAGATTATTTTGACTATACCAGACATCAGCATTGTACAGCCGGCAGCCCACATCATGTATATGTTATATAATTATTACTAAAATAAACATATTATTCTAATTTTCCACGTGGGAAAAGGAATGCACCATCTCTGGTTTATAGTGTACATTTAAAATTGTGCACTGATCTATTTACCCTTTTCTTTCCTCATTTGGTTGTATGTTTAGAGGAATTGAAGGTGTGACCATATCCCTTCCATCATAACTAGTCCCAACATGGAAGAGTAGTTTCTGGTTGAAGGCCTTGTCAATGAGCTTGAGAATCTTCCTCCCCATTTGGTTGTCTGGCAGGTAAGCACTGAGGTGCATCCCAGAAAAAGGCTGTCCAGGGTGTGGGTGCCTCTCCTGCAGGACATATTCCATGGTAAACAATCTATTTTATACAATATTTGTTGTGACATAATATTTCACTCAATCTCCATAATCAAATTGATGAATTTACATCAAAACTGTAGTGTGGCATGGTGACACAAGAAATTTTATTTTGTTATGTTGTTAGGAGCCTGATGGGGATTATGAGGATCGCAACGACCCATCAGACTCCTAACGACTGTTTACACTTTCCCACTTGACCCCAACGCCCCACCCAACAGGGGGGAGCTGAAGCAGCTTTATTCTTTGTCACACCCAGAGTATATATTTGCTGTACTTCCCACCACCAGTTAGAGCTGAAGAGATTCAAATACAACGTAAAGTTTAAAAGTAATTTTGTAAGGTGTAGATAGATAGATAGATAGATAGATAGATAGATAGATAGATAGATAGATAGATAGATAGATAGATAGATAGATAGATAGATAGATAGATAGATAGATTGTTTTAATCGGATTTTGTGAAAAAAATTGCTATATCACAAATATAGCAAAACATAATAACACATCATAAAACAGTTATACATACAAAGGTTTTGGCTTTAAAAATGTGGATTCTGATTTTGAAATAGAGATAAGTGCATTTGCGAACGATCGCTGGTAGCTGTTTACCTAGATGAGATCATACACAGCATACTATTGGCTAATACAACGCATATTTGATGTACTATTGGCTAATTGAGCATGCGCATCTGTTCAACACGCTGATTGGCTCATGCATCATAGCATCTCTTAGCATCTCCCCTTGTCTGTCAGCCACTCTCTTGTTCACTTCGCTCATGGTCGCTATTACACAACTCTACTGTGCATATAATTTTGTGGGAAAGGGTCATACAGTGTAGGGAGCATTGATAACAGTGTGGGGGAGCTCCGGAAGGGTAAACATTTTTCCCATTTCGCGGTGGGTCTTGGAGCACAACTACAGGGATAGGAGAGGGATTACTGAATTACACTTTGAAATATCCAGCTACCTACTGCCTGTATTCCGTCTGGAAATATAAAGTTGATCTTTATGGTGTGGTCATTAGGAAATCCTGGCAAATCTCTGTGTATGACTTCCAATGTCATCTGTCCCTCAGGCTGGTCGCCACTTGGTATGTAGTCATGCCTACTCATCCCATGGTAAGCTGTAAAAGACATAGGGAACAATAACTTCACTTCACTGAATAGCAATATCCAAAAGAAGGAAGGAAAGTGAAATTTGAAGTGTGTTTAAAGACCTTGTTTTTTTAGTGAGGGATGGTGTTGACCATTAAGGTAGCGGTTACAGTGAAGCTTGTCGCTGCTGTGACTGGAGCCCATACTGAACAATGAATACACAAACATAAAACATAAAAATGGTTTATCATACGGTTGAAAAAACCTGTTTAGAAAATTTGTATTATTACATATTATTCTTCGCAGCTTTTATAAAACCAAACTTAAATAGGTCCATTATCTTCTCTAAAAAGGAAATAACCCTGTAAAGCTAGTAATCTATCTATCTATCTATCTATCTATCTATCTATCTATCTATCTATCTATCTATCTATCTATCTATCTATCTATCTATCTATCTATCTATCTATATTCTTTTTTTATTTGGATGAGAAGGATAGTGTTGAGTGTTTTTAAATTAGCTATGCTGGTAATTTTGAGCTATATTAGTTGTACCCACTTTATAACTGTTTTCTTACCAGCTTTGTGTGTATATATATATATATACATATATACTGTATATTTATATATATATGAAGAATACCAGTCTGAGAATATTTTCACGGACCGGCCTTTAGGGTGTGGTGGTTAAATACAACTAAATAAAACAATGCAACATAAAATCTGGTATTTTCTACATAATAATAATAAAGCTGAAGCCGCTGTGTCCATCCATCTATTTTCATCCGCTTATCCGTTACCGGGTTGCGGGCGCAGCAGTCGCCACCCAAATCACATTGCACCGTACCTAAACCTTCCTGCGGGTGGTGAGCCCACTGGAAGGTACCAACCGCCCTAACCAGGATTCAAACTTGCCCAGGAGGTGAACCCTGGGGTTTCACCCCAATGACAGAGACATTGCCTGTGGGCCAAAGTGCCACAGAGCAAGCCACTGTGTATTCAACTTTATCAGCCAAAGCGCCACAGATCAAGCCACTGTGTATTCAACTTTATCAGCAGTATCCTCGTAACATTGCGCTTGTCTTTTAATGCAGAATGCTTGGTTTCCAAATGGTGAAGCAGTTTTGAAGGCTTCATTGCCTCATTAGAGAGCCATTCACTACGTATTATGCAACCTGTCACAATAAATTCATATTTCAAGTTGGATTCCTGAAATTGTCTGTTAAATGCAGCTTTCTTTTTCTCGAAGATGTAGCTCTTCTTCTGTCCCCTCACTGTATCCTTTACCCTGCGCAAAGAAACTTTCCAAAGACGTTTGTTTTTTGTTCATTTTGCTAGCTCGGGGTTTTCAATTTAGCAGTAATGTATGTGTTACTGGCCGGAACAGACCTTTTTAAACAGTTCAGAATCAGCTAATAATTAAAACCGAAATAATTTGATTTATGCGTTCTTTCTCTGGGGTCCAGAGCACCAATTGACCCACGGACCAGTGCCGGTACACGCCCCAGGAGTTGGGGACCACTGCCTTATGACATCATTGCTGTTATGGATGCCAGTTGTGCATGTGTGAAAATACGGCTAAATACGGCAACTCCACTCACAGAAACTTTATCAGAGAGAGGTTGCAGGCTGTGCGTGGCTTCCTGATTTTCACATGTGCAAAAAGGAGGCATGCCCAACATGTGAAAGTTTGATACAGGTGGACACTGGCGTATGGCAGTGGTAGAGATTAATGAACAAAGATTAATTTTAAGATTTAACACCGACACCCCTCTCAGAAAGCAAATAGAACCAGCCACTCAAACTATGAGGGCCTGACCAGATGATGCTCTCCTTCAGCCACAGAACTGCTTCGCCTGCACGGACTAGAGCATTTTTGAACATCAGGACCTGGACACACACAATGAGTCTGTCCTCTTTTACATCCAGTACTGCAGGGGTCACCAACCTTTTTGAACCAGAGATCTACTTCCTGGGTACTGATTAATCTGAAGGGCTACCAGTTTAATACACACTTCTGAAATGGCCAATTGCCTTAATTTACTTTTGACTATATGTTAATATTAATAATTAATGATATTCATGTGAAGACACTAGTACATTTAATGATTTCTCACAATAAATAACAATGATTTAACAAGATAGGCAACAGATAAATATCAATATGCAACACTTTATTTCTATATTTTCTCAAGTGTTTTTCAAATTTTTTAAAAAATCATGAGTTACTTTGCACCATCTTTGTACAATTGATAAATCATTTAAAATACAAAAATCAACTTTGAGATTTTTATATTATACTATACTAGTTCACATTCATTTATATTTAAGTTTTTTTTAAATTATTAATATACATTGTTACAGTTTACATGTAAGTGTGATTTAAACAAGAATAGCAACACAAAAAAATAGATGCAGCTCAGTGGTAAGTGGCGCTATGTAGGCTATATTTAGAACAGGCCGGCGGGTAACTCATGTGGTCCTTAAGGGCGACCTGGTGCCCACAGGCACCGCGCTGGTGACCCTTGCAGTATTGTGTGGAAAATGTCACTGAGGAGCGATGCATCCGGGTCTTTCCAAACAGAAAGCCCTGGATGACAAGCAAAGTCCAGACTCTGATCAGCGCCCACAACTCAGCCTTCAGGAAACAGAATTCTCTACAACACTGCCAGAGGAGCATCTAAGTGGCAAAAGACTCCTACAAGAGGAAAAAAGAGAGATAACTGGCTTTCAATACGATCATCCGGACATTCTCTTCACCAAACTCCTGCAACTACAGATTCCCCTCCCCAAAACTTTCGGTCATGTCGCCCACAATCTCTGAGACTTGGCCCCCAGATTTCTGGGCACCCACATCTCTGCTGACCACTCCTGGACAACATCAGGGCCCTAGTGAAGAAGGCTCAGCAGCAGCTACACTTCCTGCACATCCTCAGGAAGAACAACCTGGACAGGAAGCTGCTGCTGGCCCTCTATGCTCACCTACTGCCTGTGTGTATGGTACACAAGCTCCACAGCCGAGGACAGGAAGACAATGCAGAGGGTGATAAACACTGCCCAAAAATCATCAGGTGCCGTCTTCCCACCCTGGAACAAATCTCTACATCTGCTGCCTCAGAAAAGTCATTGCAACCACAGCTTACCCCTACACCCAACCTGACCCCTGTTTGACCTGTTGCCCTCTGGAAAGGTCAGTCAATTCACATACTGCCAGACTGCTTTTTCCCCTGGGCCAGCCAGACTTTTTAACACCCACGGACACACACACACGCACTCACCCCGGGGACAAATAACAACCCCCACCCCTCCAACAGCTCCCACACCTATCACCTCATCTACCTCCTACCAAGAATGTTTACAGCCACTGGTCACTTTAATCTTTTTGTACAAATGCACAATTTTAATATTAAAAATTGTATATTGTATATATTGCATATTATCTATATATATTCTGGTTTGCATAACTTACACTACCTCCTAGTATACCTACGCTACCTCCTGGTATTGTTTTTACAGTCTTTTCACAATTTATTTACAGCTCATATTACAAGGTTGTTTGCATACAGTATATTGTTGTGGTGCATGGTGGCTCTGTGGGAGCACTCTCAGTTTCGTTGTACCCCCGTGGTACAATGACAATAAAGACTATTATATTCTATTCTATTTATTTTTTTAAATCATTTGACTCCATTTAACATAAATGTTTGATTAAAACACTTGAAAAATTTGGTTTTGAGGTTAAATTCTGTGCAGTCACAAAAGACACTCTGGAATGAAAAAAATAGCTACATTTCTTTTAATCTGTGAATAGCCTAAATAAAGGAATAAGAAATAACAAGGGTATCCTGTTACACCTCAACTTCTCATTTATGTACTCAAATACTGGAATATTTAATTGTAAATCTTTCAGAAATAAAAGGGGTTACTTTTTTTAGTTTGAATTCAGTGTCAGTTTTCTGATGATACAGTACTTCATATATTATATATTAATATATATATATTCTATAATGAAGTCCATAAAATGTCCATTCCTGTGAAAAACGAAATAAAATACTTGGGTTTAAGTAAAATTAAAGGTAACAGATTTAGGAAAAGTTATGATTTTCTTGAATAATTAGAGAAAAAAAATCAGTGGCCAACTTGATATTTCCAGAAGAAATATTGTCCATAACTGAGGACATTTCATAACTGGTTTATTCATGCCAGTCTTTTTTTGTTGTTGTTCCTGTTATGACAAATTTATATGCTGTGCTATTAGCCACCATTTGCCTTGTACTAAAACTCACATAGTCAGTGGAAAAACACTGACTTATGTGTGCTAGCCAGTGATGGGAGATGCTACTCATTATCTTTTCTTCAGTTCCTGTAAGACCTTGACAATTGTACGCAAATACCCCCTGTTTATTGAGTTACTGTTGGCCAGATAATCTTATAGGTGGCAATGGTACTGAGGTGAACTTGCCCCCACTCATTTTCTTGTATGCACACACAAATGTATCCAGCGCACTATAAATGTAAGTTGCACTAGCTTGCAAACAAGCGCTCTCGTACAGACAACAGAAACGGAAGGGATCAAAGTAGAACTGGTCACACAGTACATCATTGTAGGAGAACAAGGTGCAGCTCTCAACATGGAACCAAATGACATTCATATCTAAATGGTACAATGTGCCAGACTCAGAGCCTCACATCACGTTGTTAATAAACAACAAGGCTAAAGCTAGAGACTTGGGTCCCATGATGAAGGATACAGAAAGAGCAGAATGGGAAGCAACGGACAATCCGTTAATATTCCAGACGCGGGGGTCAACAATGATCAAAATCCTCTGCAGAACATCAATGCTGGCTACACCGCAGGAAGTAAACATAATGGCCAAAATTCTGATTCAGAGAGATGAAGAAACAAAAGAAACTGAGAACATGCTAGAAGACATGTTAAAAAGAGTGCCAGAGAGCTTATGGCCAAAGGATGATTTTGACGTGGGACTGGTTAAGTCAGCTAAACCAGTAAAAATAGATTTACAACCCTGGGAAACCCTGTCTAACTGTCGACAATGTCCGTTGAAGGCAGAAGCAGACGAAGGAATAAGTAGGACTATATCAGAATTGATAAAAGCAGGAGCGTTAGTAGAAATGTACAGCCCATGCAACACTCCAATATTTCCTGTACTGAAAGCTGTCCAAATACATGCTGGTACATGATTT